CACGGACCCACACCTCAACCCCCGCCACCTGCACAGCACGAGGGGTCACAAAAGGCAGGGCAGGATTCACGGAAAATATTCCAAATGCGGGCAGGTTGGAACAGAAGCAAACCTTTGAGAAACACTGAAAAGACCCAACCTTGAAAAGGCCACAGAATGGGGCAGCACAGGGCAGCCCTGCTGGGAACTCTCACCTTGTTAAAGGCTGAGTGAAGCGAAAACCAGGCGGAGCTCCAAGAGAAAAAGCAAATTTCCCCAGCTGCAGCACCCAGGGGATGGCTGTGCCTGCTCCCAGGGTGGACACGGGGATGGAGCCGAGCCCAAAGCCTGGATCCTGACACCCCCACGACTTCACACAGCGCTGCCTCCCACCCAGAGCATCCCTCCCGTGGCCCCTCTCCCTCGCCAGGTCCCGCAGTGTTTTACTGGACAAGGCAGGCGAGTTAAATTTACATTTTATTTGAACAATGTTTCATCTTGTTCCTGTGCGTCTCCGCAGTGAGAAGCTGATGAAATTTATTCCTGCTCTTGCTGCCACGCTGTATAAATAAAGGGGAAGGAATAAAATACTTCTCCAACAGGAAGTGTGAAGGCTTTAATGCTTTGTTTAAATATGCAGTTGAGAGACTTTATTTATCACGCAGCATCTGTATGTGCCTACAGCTGAAATTTGCTCCCTAAAATTAAAATACCTCATTTTGCATGCGTTTTTCCACCTGTGTCACACCACCAAACGTGGTGGATTTATCCTTAAATCTGTGCTGGGTAAGAATCTCAGCCAAAAAGATGCCCAGAAATATCATGGCCACTGTATTCATGTGTCTCAGGTACTGTGAACTCTGGCTGGCTGCACTTCCCAAGAATAATTGGTGTATACACACACCCTGGGAGATTTATATTCCCCTGCATCTTGGGCTATATACAATATGATTTAAATGGCACAGGCACTGGAGAAAGTGGACAGTAAAATGTACAGTATTTGAAAATAAACATAAAGCAAAATGGTTTGACATCCTATTTCACTTGAAATGTAAATGGTGAACATTCAGGGTGTGATTTACAACCTTTTTAAAAGCACAAATGTTTTTCCTTTTTGGCCCCCTCACTCAGATGCCACAAATCAGGAGAATTCTTTGCAGCATCAAGAAATCCCCCGTGGTGGGTTGGCTCCTTTTTGTTGCTATCCCAAGGAATAGACATGGATCCCCCAGATCAGTTTTCCTGCCTCTCCCTTTGTTTTTCCCTCTGGTGTCCCGACTTGAAATGTGGCTTTATTGTGAATTTTGGGCTGTAGGCTCTCAGAGAGAGAGGAGGGAGAGGAAGGGATGCAATGTGAGAGGAGCTTGTCGCTCATTTTTGCAGCCTTTTGCCCAGGGTCAACACCTTAAGGTTTCCATGCCTTCAATCCTGGCTGTGTCACTGCTCCCATCACAAGGGCAGTGTGGGAATCCCTAAATTCCCTGATTCCTGCTGCTGCCTGGAGTCACCGACCCAAGACAGCATCCAGCTGTGCTCACTTTCCTTTTAGGTGTCCCTCCTAACCTGTCTGTGCTGTATTCCAAAATAGCATCACTCTGTGCTGGCACCAACCCTGCACCACCTTTCCAACCCTCCCTTCTCCCCACCCACCACCAGCACGGAAAATGTGCAGAGAGAACCTGCCCTGCCCTGCCTCTGCTCCCAGCAAAGCACAGGGAAGATTCCTGAAATGTTCTTTTCAGCATTGAGCCACTTCTAGTCCCAGATCACAGAATATTCAGAGCTGGGAGTGCTGTCTTGAGAGGCTGCCTGAAACAGAGGTTAGACAGAGTTAGAGGAATAAAGCAGGGATTTATTAAAAGGTTTTTAAAGGACACATCTTGGGCAGTGCTGGAGTCTGGCTGTGGCTACACCCTAGATGGACCCCAGGTCACTTTTTTCATACTTTTTTTCACACTTTTATAAGTTTTGCTCCATTTCCATGTTGGGTTAATTGTCCAATTCCAGCTCCAGGTGCTGCAGTCCCACCCTCCCAGGTTGCTCCCCTCCATTCCTGCTGTTTGCACTTTTTGGGGCTGAAGCTGCAGCGGTGTCCTTGGTTCTGGGCTGGTTCAGGATTGTTCTGTGTGTTGAGCTGGTTCTGGACTGGAAAAGGATTGTTCTGTGTGCCTGGGCTGGTTCTGGGCTGGTTCAGGATTGTTCTGTGTGCTGAGCTGGTTCTGGGCTGGTTCAGGATTGTTCTGTGTGCCTGAGCTGGTTCTAGGCTGGTTCAGGATTGTTCTGTGTGCTGAGCTGGTTCTGGGCTGGTTCAGGATTGTTCTGTGTGCTGAGCTGTGAGCAGAGCTGCTGACACTTTCTGTGGAGTTCAGAGTTATAAATGCAGCACAGAAGGTGGGAAATACGAAAGCTCAAACTTGAGGCATCAGAAGGGTCCAGTTTTTAAGGGAATTGTCCATATCAGTTGGGCAAGAACTGACTGGAATTCAAGCTCCAACACACAAACCCAAATCATCGACATTGTCTTGTGCCCCAAAGCCATCATCTGCTGACCCTACAAGGCACAAATCCATGGAACCAGAGCTCCAGGATATCCCACTGCATAGGAAAGGAAGGAGGGAAA